ACATCAGAGTAATTACATACAAATATATGCATAGAGAGAATCTATCATAAATTGAGTCAAAAAACTTGTCTCGCTTTTTTCTAATTTAATTTTCAAATGGGGCGAAAAAAGACAAACCTATTTAAATGTATTCCATATAATTCATCCGTAGAGCTAAAATGACACTTCTTTATCTTTGGTCTCTTTATACTGTGTAAATATGAGAGTAAGTCACTGAACTCCATATATACTAGTACGATGGACTGGCTATATACTACAACACATTTGTGCCGTTTTGAAGCGCTGCCATTGAGTATATAGTCCGTTCGCTTAGATGTGGTCGACTTTGTACCGTAACGAACATCGTTTAAACTTTCTGCAGGTGTAATTCTTGTCATCCTTTGACATCATAAGATTTACCTTTTAAGTGAGTATTGTTTCGGGTTTTATTTTGAATTATTCACCTGATAGTTTAATTTTAGTTCTGTTAATAGACCCATGGATCTGGATAATTTCTTACTCTGCTTCTTCTGTTTTCTTTTTTTGGTTTTATTTTGTTATTTATCATTGTATAATTATTCATTAGTATATATATATATATATATATATATATATATATATATATATATATATATATATATATATACCCACTATAAGGTTATAATGAATGACTTCAGCGTAAAACTATACAAGAGAGAACGGTGAGCTGAAGGTAGGGAAATTTGGGAAAGGGCAACGGAACCTAAGGCACCTAGCCAAATTCATGTAGAAAGAGGGACTCTTTATGATGAACTCTTCCAAAACCGGCCCCACAGAAAGTGGACCTGGTCGAGCCCCAACGGTTCGACAAAAATGAGATTGAATTCATTATGACGATTAGATGGCAACTATTTAGTGATGCAGGGGTAGAAACTGGCAGCAAACACCGAATGGTTAGAGGTACACTGAACCTAAACGTTAAGTTGAAGGGGTCTCGTCTAATGAAGTCAACGCTCCATCCCTCGAACTAAGTTCGCTACTCGCACTAAGTCTTGCAGACCCGCCGTAGAAGAACACGAAAACTCCCCGATAACTCTCTTAATCTCATGGATGTTAGACGAAAAATGAAGCTACAGTCTTTAACAGATTTGACTGCATACAGAAAACTGAACAGACATATCTCCAAATGCATGCGGCGGGACTTACGCAGCTTCAATACTGCTCGTATTGAAGGAGTGATTGAACGAAACCAGGGCTCCGAAGCCTTTTCCAGAGATCTCTCTGCCAGAAAGAGCCATCTGTCAAAGCTAAGGACTGAGTGTGATAGCATCCTTGACAACTTAGATTTTAGTGAGATTGAGAGGTTCTATGGCCAGCTGTACACATCATCCTTGATTGAATTGAATTTGAAGAGCAAGTCTTATCCAACACTATTCCGATGATATCTTGGTCGTGAGTCTGAGCGAAATTTAAACGACGAGAGAGTCATATGCTCGTCAAATTGTAAAATTCATATTATTGAGCTTAAAATTATTCTGCAACAACCCCGTTATAGTCTTAAGTCAGAATTTAGCATGTATATAAAATGCATCATATTTTGATATCGCAGATAAATGTTATAAAGTATATTATACACCGTGAAAAACAATTTGCGCTTCGTGTCATTTAATCAAAATATTTAAAATTTAAAAATCAACAAATCATTGCTTATGAATGCTCAAGTGGTTGCAAATCAAACAAAATTATCACATCTCGCCATGCATAAGTTACATAACTATTACTTTTGTATATAAAACGTAGAAGATCTGGATTATCAGACAAACTTCGCTAAAGCGATGGGACGACATACTGCATTGGGGATTTTAGGTGCATTTTAAAAATAATTACTCAACTTCGTCTATCTTTCTTGTATAAAAAAAGAGAAATAAATATTTATTTATTTACATCACTGTAACTCAGCCACAGTCTTCTCCAATAAATCCACCCCCCAATTGTCATCCGACAACATACACCGCCGACAGTCCAACCGCCAACAATATGCATTCCTACGTCATCAATTTTCAAAGAGCGAGCCTAGTATACAGTATTCAGTTATACCTGAAACTTGCTCTGTTCCGTGTCCGTGCACTTAAGATACCTCCGTCTAAAAACTAAATTTTGAATTCATACTTACAAATTGTGCCCTGAATCTCAAATGATTCTACAGATCATCACAATCTTATCACACAAGACGTTGTAAGAAATGACCAATGAGATTTTATTGGAACTTCAAATCATCCAATTTTTTGAAGGCATAATGCGTAAGAAATCTCTATTCAGAAGATCTTTTACTAACTTACTTGACCCACAGCAAATTCCAAAGGCTTAAGGACCGTTTATTATAACATTGCATTGTATAAGAATACCCGTACAAAATTTTAATTGTGATATACAGTTTGTAAATCCTAGCTCATTTAGGTGCATTTCTTATGAATGATTTTCATTAATCTAGCTCATTTAGGTTTATAATATATTTATCAACTATTACAAAATATAATTATTTTATGTAAGTACGTGTGTATTAAATATTTTTCATTACTAAATGTTGGTGTATTTATTCTTTTTCCAAATAGCTATCTTTAATAACTAGTGATTTTACAAACTGACATTAAGATAATTTTTATAAATGTAATAATAACCCCCGTAACCCCACCTCAACCTGCACGTCTTAGAAAATGGTGATGATTAAGTATTAATTAGAATTCACTATAAGCAATGGAGAATTCAGTACAATTCTTAGGGGACATTACAAACATTTCTAAAGGAAAACAACTATAATTTGTTTTCCTTTAGAAATTAGCTCCACAACGTACAAAAACTATTTATTCAGCCGTAATCACTCCAATCTTAGCTTCAGGCAGTTCAAACTATGACTGTGTGATTGCGATTATCTTAAATTTCATAAATTAAGCTTTCCCGTTTTTTCCATAGATAAAGAATAAATTAATTACTTCAAGAACTAAAATTACAGGAACACCTTTTCACTACACTCGAACGACAATAGCTCCGTACTTGTTTGATTTTTAAAATAGTTATAAGGTGTAATTAAGTGAACTCGTGAGTTTAATAGTGAAAGTGGACAAAAATCCTGTGAAAACTGTATTAACTACGATAATACGCTACACTATTGTTTTTTTTTAAATATTATCCAAAAATATTTTATGGTATTTTTACGTAGCCAATAGGAGGATGGCCAAATACCCGACAACGAAATGATAGCGTCCCAATATGAAATATTTATGTAAAATACCTTTAAGGTCTTTAAATACAAAAGAAATACCTCTCTAAGTAGCCACAAAAAAAGTTATATATTTATTTATATTTTTGTAACTGTTCAAAATTATTTCAAATAATAGTTTCAGAACGCACCTAATGACGATTCATTACATGTGTTAAAGGACTTGGTATTCAAAGACTATAATTATTCACGTTTTTATGAATATTTGTTAATTTTAATTCAATTGAATTAGTACGTAGACATCAAATCAACTACTATACTGATTTATTATGTACTGGATTCTTGCCATAAAAATAATTTTCTAGGTCATAGTAAGCTAAACGTTTTGTTCAATTACATATATGCAACGGAACGTCATTTGTCATCGCTTAGTCTGTGGTCATCAATCCGCGCCATTATTGTTTTCTCTAGTATATACACAGTAATCTATGATTGTTATTTTCTTCTGTAGTTTTCACTTCGGTATTGTTTTACAGACTGATTTTTTCACATCTTGGATAATTGTGAGAGACATCGTGCAACCTACACTGCGTTTAAATATCGGTTGGTATGGGTATTTTTTCTATACACAGTAAATGGTGAATCTCACCATCATCCTTCACAGTTAGCTACCGTGGGTAAATCTTTGTTTCAGAGAGCACGAGGGATCTGTGACAGAAAACATCTGGCCGCGGAGCTTCAGCACGTCAAGCAAGTATTGCAAGACAACAAGCTTCGGGTCCCGCGCCTACGTCACAGTGAACGAGTGAAGCCGGCCACAGTCGAGCGCGCGCCTGCTCTACTACCATATGTTAGAGGAGTCACGGACAAGATTGGCTACATCTTGAAGCGAGCGTCCATTAAGACATACTACAAGCCGCTGAAGAAGATTAGTCAATTTTTACCATCCATCAAATGTAATATTCCTCTACAAGATGCAGGTGTGTACAAGCTAGATTGTGAATGTGGTCTCTCTTACATAGGTCAAACAAAGAGATCTATAAAAACCCGCGTGAAGGAACATATAGCTGATGTGAAGCACCGACGCTCCGGGAAGTTTGCAGTCTGCGAACATGTTCAAGATCGTCCCCACCATTACATTAGATTTGATAAACCACAAATTCTCGCAAAAGAACACCGATTCCTACCAAGGATGATACGCGAGGCTATTGAAATTAAAAAACATCCAAATTTCAATAGAGAAGATGGTTGGGTGCTACCATCTGCTTGGGATCCTATAATTAACAAAATTAAACCCAAACCCAAGTATACCACTGCAAGACTTCAGATACTATAAGCTCGTTTTGCGTAAATCGGACCAAAAATTAATATTAAAAAACTGAAGGTAGCCGGACTAACTATGACATTGGGACGTCAAACATCTCAGTCCCCCCCCGTGACCATGGGCGCTGTAAAGCACCCGAAACGTCGGGATAATAATAAAAATAAATTAAAGTAATTAAACGCGAAAAAAATCCGTAAATAATAGTTTTATTCAATGTGTAGTGTTCGCGTAAATTTAAGAAATCATTATACAAACCAATCTAACTATAGTTTGTATTGGGACATGAAAAAAAAAGTCAAGTCCAGCTCCTATAGAAATTTGGCCATTCTCCTTTTAAATACTTTTTGTTTATAAATAACATGTGACGAAGATTAAATGTTTTGGAAGAAATTTCGGAAACTGCGATGTTGTTAAATATCGTTTTTTATTTCAATATTCTAAGATTAAATCTACTGATTTGACGTGGCAGAACACATGGTGTCGTCATGATGCAGCGGATGGTTAATAGCAAGACGACGGAGAATAACATGGTTTGAAACAAGGTTCAGTGAACGGTGGACAAGGTTCAGGGCACGATGGACAAGGTTCAGGGCACGGTGTACAAAGTTCAGGGCACGGTGGACAAGGTTCTGGGCACGGTGGGCAAGGATCGGAGCACGGAGGGCAAGGTTCAGGCCACGGTAGACAAGGTGAGAGGCTGAGTGGTATACATGGTGGTGTGTACAAGCGGGCAGGTCTAACGCAAGGTGGGACTAGCTGCGGAACGCATATCGACGGTGGAGAGATGCAAGGCTCTCCTTGCTTTCCAATGCATACGGTGGCCCCACTGGTACGGTACGGTACTGGTACGGTAGCATTGCCACGGTGCCTTCCTTTCTTTTAGCACAAAATATTGAAATAATAATTAAATATTTCTCATAACAAAACAAATTTATGTTGCAGAAGTTAACGGCAGAGTCGGTAAGGGACGCCCTAGGCGAAAGTTTGTCGACCAAATTGGCAATCTATTGAACATGTATGCGTAGGTATATGGATGTGAAAGAGGCGAGAGAGGTGTGTCAGGATCGTGCCAAATGGAAGTCCGTAGTCTCTGCCTACCCCTCTGGGTGACAGGTGTGAGTGCTTATGTATACGTATGTACGTATATTTCTCGTAATGTTATGAAATCTCTACGTTTTCAGTTTACTTTCGTACTAATGGTGTGTGTAAACATACCCGCATCTTGAGTTAAAACATCAGTACAAAAACGCATTTGAGTGTTATTGTAACGAACCATTCTCTGACATTGAATTTCATCTTATCTTCTACTATATAATATGGCAAATTTGGGAGGCCTATTATTTCAGCAGTTGAATTATAATAGGCTGTTATGTATAAAGGAAAATATAAAGAACTTACAGTCCACGAGTTGGTAAGTGGCTAAAGCAGCATACTGACACACACAACAAACTTCAAACAAAGAAGTCTATAGATGCGTTTTCATCTCTTCAGGACTAAGATGGAATGTCTTACAGCCAGTAATTATGCTGGCTCTCTAATACTTTTAGACCGGAACAAGGCAGAGCACGCAATTCTGCTTGGTCGTAGAAATAGGTGACACCCTATTTGTTTCTGTGTCTACTCAGAGGACTCATAGGCTGAAAAGAAGCCCTACATTCTAAATGGAATAATTGTTAATCAAAAATGACTTGATTGCATTGCTTACCAAACACAAAGATCGTTGATAACCCCATGCCTATCAACTGTTACATTTTCGTTTTTACGGTATTTTAATATGCGTAACTTGGTTGGGCAAGGTCAAATTTTATTTTATGTTTCGTTAAATTAGATTAAATACATTGTCTTTACTCAATTATTTTGAAATGTTAAAGCCGTGCTGCAGCTATATTACAGTTATAGGATTGGTTCTTCGCCAGTCAGGCGGAACCGTTTCGGTTTGACAGGGAAGGGCCAATGCTAATCTTCTTTTATCTATTACAAATCTTACTTAGATGCGACGCTGTGTCGCCGCTTGTTTGGTTTCCGCCTAGAGTATGTATTTGTATTGTATACAAATAATTGTCTCGGGCATGGATATTTATCTACATGCACTTATATACTAAAAACGCCTCCGTGATACATAAGAAATTTATAAAGTGGGGTGACAATTCTTCAAAGCAGGGACGGAAAGAGAAAAGCAGAAAATAATTTTCAATTTCAAAACTAAATTAATAGCGATCGTAGCTTATATCAAGGATAGTTATCATGCGTTTTTGTTATTTAATCAAACTATAAACTTTGCATGAAATGCTTTTTAATTGTGATGAATTGATTAAGGTAATATGAAAATATTTTATGTTATATTCACAAACAATTTCGGAATATACAAAGAAAAAAATATTTACAATAGTTTGTGCTAATTAAAGCGTTATATCATTTATTTTGAAAGCTACATTTGCGATAAAAATTAATTACATTAATATATATAAACATTTTATTCGTACTATGTATAAATATTGAAAATTTTACTATTATTAATCAGACGACCGCAAGATGGCGTGAGGTAAAATAGTTTGGTTATCAGGTAACTATAATTATTGTTATTTTAAATTTATTTAAATACGAAAAATTTTAATGTGCCTCTTATGCAGGTAATATATTTATTTAAATTAAAAGTCTATTTGTCGTCATTTCTTTAGATCAAGTATACCGCTACAATCATATTCTGATGTGTATCTCAATCGTTTCTCTAGGACGTTATGGAGCAGATAAGAGTACGCTGCCTCGTGTAAATAGTACATTTAATCAATGCTCGACTTTCTAATTAAATTATCATTATCAAATTCCCAGTGGTGTCCGAGTATTTTTAATGTTGCGTACACTTAATACTTATGCCAGACTAAATGACACTTAATGACAGATTTTAGATGAGTCATCGCGTATCGTTATAGGATATAATTACTTATTTAAGTTTATATTTTGATACTTTGCAGCTCTTATTCTGGGTACGACTTTAAGTCAGCCGATACCTGATCCAGATCCTCAAATTTCTTACACGGAGTATCCCCCTTGTGAACCCTGTGAGCCAGAACCTTCGTGTGCTCCTTGTGATCCATGCTCACCTCCGTGTTGTGATGGTAATAACGCCATAAAGATTGGACCTTGCAATCCTTCTGAGCGACCTGTTAAATATTTGTACGTTTAAGCACCCCAAGGTGAGGAGAAAGTATATACAGCAGTATGTAAAGTATACAGTATATAAGTGTTTAATGCAAACTAAATTGGATAAAAACAACCAAAATAAAATCAAATAATATAATAATATTTATATTAAGAAGTTATATATCCAAATTTAATAACAACAGGTTCAGTGATCTTAAGACCTGGTCAAATCGGTTAGAAAATGCTTCCTACACTACTGAGGACATGTTAATTTCAAAGTAACTTGTGATGAACATTTAAAATCTTTTACAAAATTCTATTAAAGTGATAGAACGTACCTACGGGCATTACAAAAATATAGTGATAAAATTACGACGAGAGCATGAATCTGTAACAGCTAGTAGCAGTAAAATGAAAACTTTTACAAAAGCAAAGTGACATAGAAAGGAATATTTAGACGGATTTTCTTTAACAGCATTAAGAAATTTAATTTATTTTATATATATGGTGAGAAAAGAAATACCTACAGTGCGCAAGATCATGGCGGCTGTAAAAAGACCTTAACTATACAGGAACTGAAACAACATTAAGAAAAATAATCAAAAGTGATTAAGAATATCAATTTAAAAGATGCTACCAGAAAAGACTCGCTATAATAGAAAGACTCCAAATTTAACCGTGGAGGGCTAAATATTTATGATGCATTGAAAACAATGACTTGCTGAGCGCAAACAAAAAACCTGTTATCTATCTCGATGAAACATGGATACACGCCAATTACACTGTAAAAAATTTTTGGCAAACACCAACCTATATTAGAGTGAGAATGAAAGACAGCCCTGGCTGCCGATGGAGAATAGTGCACGCGGGAAATGAAACCGGTTTTGTAGATAATGCACTTTTAATGTTTTAGGCAGAAACAAAATCCGAGGACTATCACCATCAAATGAACGCTGAAAATTTCACAAAGTGACTGACTGAAAAATTGATACCCAGCTAACCAAGCAATTAAATTATTATAATGGACAACTCATCCTTTCATAGTGAGGAAGAAAATAAATCCTAGAAAACGGGTGATGGTTGATTGCGCTAAACCGGAGTTATATTTATTAAAAAAAGGGCATAAACTGCCGAAAAATTATAAAATTGACAAATAGTTAGCTGACGATGGCCATGAAGTAGTAGGATTGCCACCATGTTACTGCGACCTCAATTCTATCGAATGTATTTGGAACTTTGTCAAACATAGAGTTTTAGAAAAGAATGTAGAACAATTAGAAAGTAAAATTGAATTTTTGACCTTGGAGGCGTTGAACTCAATAACTCCAGATGATTGGAAGAAAAAAGTTAATCACCTGAAGAGACATGAAGAAGAATAATGACGTAAAGACCGAATAACTGACAAATTATTTATCATCAATACGGCAGACGACAGTGAATCTGATACAACGGACTCTGAAAATGGTTTTGATTTACATGATAATATGAGTGGAATTGAAGAATATAATATATAGAATTATTAAATTGTATTAATAAACACCGATTTTTTAATAATTGGTTTTATTTATTTGTTGTCCATCAAAATTGGTTGAGAGGTTTAATGAAAATGTATCAAACTGACAAGACTTCTCTCACGTTTGTTATATTAGTAGGTAATTTAATAGTAAATATTTATAATGGGATACCTATAAATATATGTATATAATATAATATAAATACTTATGACTCTATGTTATTAACTTTATTCACCAGAGGTGGCAACACCTAACACGAAAAGAAGATTAACTTTTTTTTGTCTCTATTTTTTTGCGGTGGACGACGTAACGCAGCTGTTATTGTTACAAGGTTCCATCGCAATATTAATGTGCGGGACTTATAGATATACATTTATTTTTGGTATTATGCCCCCAATTTATCATCCAAATATTCCTTTATAGAATAGTAAGACTTATCAAGTTGTTTTAAATTATTTCGTGGTAGACCCATGCTGCAGTTATATTAGTAGTATAGTTCTAGCACGAATGTGTCGGCTCAACCGGGGGAAGAATCACACTCTCACAGAATACTAGCGTAAAATAGTAGCTTAATGTTGCTGTGTTTCGTATGGTGAGTGTAGAGGACCGGAGACCCTTTTTACTGGATTCGAGGCATTCCATCTTAGTCCTCAATGGTGACAACGCATCTGCAATTTGATTCGTAATCGAGGATACATGTATATGTTTATGGGCCACAGCAACCACTTACCATAAGGTGGACTGTGTGCTCATTTGTCGCCCTATCCTACAAAAAAATATTATCAATGGAGATGAACGAAATTGGGTGCTTAACAACGTTTCGAACAGTTATACACAAATATGTAGATTATAAAACGATAAATTACAAGCATAATTAAATGGTTTTTATTTCTGTAGTCCTAGCAAAAACATAAAAACATTTTGAACTGAACTGAAAGACGAAAGTTAATGATTTACTATAGCAGAAACAAAACGACATTTAATATATTCTGTATTTTGTCTATGTCCATTATAATAAATAACATTGGCTTTTTACCAAGATTTTTGGCATGGATGCTTGTCTTTTAAGTCATTCGGGATTCATTTCATTCGGGATGTTTGTTTATAGATTTTTTTTCACAATATGATGATCTGTCACATTGCGAAGTTTTTGAGCAATTTTGAAGAGAGCCTATCCCAGCGTATAGTCGATGATGACAGTCACTCAAGTTCATATGGCGCCTTAGTGATCAATACTACTTGAAGTTTATATTAACGTCGATGCACTTCTTTCGTCGTTTTCTCTAATAGTTCACACGCGCAAACAATTAATTCACAAAAACGCATCACTTTTACGTATCAAAATACAGTTCAAATCATTATAATCATTATTAAACGATGAAGCTCTAAACAACAATCCACCGATGGTAAAGTTCCCTACAAAACTCCATAATGAAGGCTATTTTTTTCAACGTTTCCATGATGTATATAGACTTGATCTATTGATCTTTTAAACGATTTGTGGAGAAATATTAATAATAACTTTATTTCATTTTTTTATTTAACTTAAAATGTATATAATGTATATAATTTAATATAAAGATAAAAATAACTTAACACTATTTAGGGAACTTTCTTTTTTTGGCGCGTCCCTGTATCGGCGATTCACTAGCCCAGAAGGCCAGAAATCGGGAGCAAGGAATGTCTCTGTGTATTTTGATAAAGGCGAGGAACTCGTGGATTTCAATGGTACCGAAGCGTTAAGGGTTGACAAGCCATTCCGAATTATTTTCATTCAGTAGTATGCTTACGCCACGAAAATATTGTAGGTGCAATATTGGAGTCGCCACATCGTTGAGAAGCGACTGCACTGACCGGTAGTAGAATCGCGACTGAAAACTCATAATATTTAAATATTAAGGTATATTTGTAGAGATTATTGCTGAATAAAAGAAATCTAATTAGAAAAACAACTGAATAGGCTATTCTATTTAACTCAAAAACATTTGAATAATACTTTAAACACACTTGAATAGGCTTTATCATCAATGATCATTGGCCGTTTAGAAGGAGACGATTTTAATAACTCTTTGTAGTAACTGCGAGATGCGTAGACAGATAAACCTATAGACTAATGATTAGCGTGGCCTCGAGTGAGAAAGGACGATAACGTAATTTTAGGTTATAAAATAATCTTTATGACTTTTAAACATATTTAGATAAAAATTTTAATTGTTCTAAGAACTGAACTGAACAAGATTCACCGACACAAGAACACTTTTTTCTCACTTAAAGCAACTTATAAACTCCTTAGATCGTTACGAACTGTCAAAGTTGTTTAGCAAAGTGTAGTTTGCTAAACAAAAAACCGGCACGGAGAAAGGGACAAACAATCACGCCGCTCTGTCGCACTTCTATGCAAGACATATGCATTAATCTATCTTTTTCGTGTGCGAATGCGAAAGAAGGCGTCAATTTGTCTATAGGTGTCTCTGTCTACGGCGAGATGCGAGTTTCAACTTGTCAATGAGTAGTTAGTTTGTACCAGTTCTGGCTCACTGAGTCAGAAGTGGTACAAGTACGACGTTCGTCAACTCACAATCCTAAAAAAAAAAAGAAAAAAAAAGGTTTTGGCATGCTCTGATCACGAATCTGCGTGTCCATTTTTGCGTAGGATGCACGATTCCGGAGATGTGCAGATCAATTAACTCTTATCTAATTGATATCCGGTGAAGGCCTCCACCGTCATTGTTCTTATCTATTTATCTAATGTTCATTGAATACCGTCATTATCTATTCTTCCTCAGCGTGGTGCTATTGTATTATACTCCTTTGTTTCTATCTATACTAATCTGACTCATCAATAAAACACATTACCTAATTTTGTTAAAAGTTTTATTTACAAAATACAAAATCTTATTACTTATTATCTATAAAACAGGAGCGAAACATCTCATCCACTAAAATATCGTTGTACAATGCGTTCCCTGTAAATATACTCGTAAAACTATGCATTGAATATCCCTGAAATATATATAGCAAATACATTAAGCAATATTCGCCACAAACTGAAGTCCACTCATTCTGAATCCTATCAACATTCCAGTTCCATCTTTTACAATTTCTTTTTAAAAACTCTAGATGATATCGTACAGGTGCTCGTCCGAATGAATCAAAATATTGACCGACGTCATTCGTATCGATATATAAAGCTACCCAATGTGACCCTGGTTTATCATCTGTATCCAAATTGCATATTATATACGTTGGTACGTGGGTGTACATGGGCAGTTTATTGGCAGCATAAACATTATTTTCGAGAGTGGGGTGAATCTTTTTCAGATGTTGTTGTACATCTAGTGTATCCATGATGTTACTGCTATTAGTAGATTATTACAGTACAATCTACTCAATGACTAACATAGGAATGATCAATTATAGTGATTTCTAAATATTAAATT